GGGGGGGGAGTCTAGTACTCATCTTGGAAATCTAGCATAGTTTGGGGGGGGGAAATGTCCAGAAAAATTAACTTTGGCCTTATTTGGTGCATATATTGTTGCTATCATGCATACTTTGCCTTCTGGGAGTCTCATTTTTAAAATTAAGTCCCTTCCATCTGAGTCTCTTAATTCTTTTAATACTTCTAACTGTGGGTTGTTTATGTAAATGTCTACTCTGCATTTTTTGTTTTCTGCTGAAGCAAGATATGCTTTGCGTAATTTTTTATTGTTTAAAATATGTTTGTATTTCTTCTTTATATGAGTTTCTTGTAGGCATAATATATCAGCATTCTGTTTTTTCAGTTGGTTGGAGATTCTCATGCATTTTAAAGGAGAATTCAGTCCATGGATATTTATTGATACGATTTTTTGCCCTGATGATGTTGCAATGTCCAAATTATCCTTTTCTATGCTTATTTCTTCTTTGGAGTTTTTGGTCTTTGAACTTTGCTTTGAGCTTCTAGCCAATTGCTTTGCATTACTTGGAAATTCTCCTGCTCCTCTATGTATGTCCCCCACTTGCAGTTCTTTGGCCAATTGCTTGGCTTGTTCTTCTGTCACAATTATTTGTCTTCCTTTTGGTGAAATTACCTCTGTTGCAAATGGTATTTTCCAACAATATTTTTATTTCTTTTGTAAAATCTATCTCAAAAAGTTGAAATCTTTCCTTTTCTTTAACACATGTGCTGGTAAATCTTGAAAGATCTGTACTTCTTTTCCCATAACCTTGAGTGGTGATTCCCTTTGGTTCTTTAATATTGTGTCTCGTGTTTTCTTGCAGGTGAATCAAACCAGTATATCTTGAGGTAGATTATTTTTGAATGTAAATCTTGTATTCACTCTAAAAATCTGGTCAATGCAGGAAAGTCTTTCTCTACCTTCAAATAATTCTGAAGTAAATCACAAAAGCTTTTTTCCAAATTTGGCCTCCCAAAATCTTCTGGGATTCCTCTAAAATGAAGATTATTAGATCTGCATTGAGTTTCCAGGATTTCAAATATTTTTTATGCCTTCTCAGTCCAAAGATCCTGCCTTTCTAAATGTGTGTCATTATCTTTTTTTGCTTCTCTTTGATTTTTATAATTTCTTGTGTTCTTGTAATTTTATAATTTCTGATAGTCCAGCTGATATCTCTTGATACACTTCTTGAAAGTTCTTCTGGGTTCTTTCCTCAGATTCTTAACTATTTCTCTGAATCCCCTGTATATTCTTTAAGGTTCTTTTCTCTGAATCTTGAATGGTCTTTTGAGTTCTTTCTTCAAATTGTTGCATTTGGTGCACCAATATTTGTGATCATTTCCCCACCATTTCTTCAGTTCTCTGGTCCTCCTCTCTTTCATCTGTACTCCTTTTTTCTTTGTCTCTTTGATGTGTTCCTGTTGTCATTTTTCTTTTCACTCTTCTATTTTTAAAAATATTGTACACACTTTCCATTTATTATTTCCATATATTGTTTTCTTTGTATATATCAAATGCACAACAATCAAAGTTTATAGTATTTAAATAACTCAACTAAAGTATATGTCCATTAGAATAAAAATTATATTCTCTACAGCTCTTATAAAAAGGGCTAAATGTAGCAAGTAATAAATGTTCTGAATAGATATAGTAAGATGAGAAAGGTAGCTTATCTTCTAATAATTCTAATAATTAAATCACAAACATCAATCTATTACAAACAGAACAATTTCCCCCATCATCTTGCAAAATGGACATCAAATGTCATCTTACAGTACAATTAATGTGTGATTAAGATGCCATAGAACTCATAATTGGATTTACTACAACAGGCTAACAGGACTGCCCTTTCAGATTGCATGTTTAAGATCTCTTTGATACTACAGTGCAATTGGTCCCACACTGCTACCAGTTGATTATTATCAGAACTTTCCTCAAAGGATCTCAGAGGTGGCATATATGGTTCTGTTCTTTTCTGTTTTATTCTCACAATAATTTTGGGAGACAAACTAAGCTGAGAAATGGTGACTGGCCCAGCCAGAGGAGGAGAGGAGGAAGAGGAGGAGGAGATTGGATTTATACCCCGGCCTTCACTTAGAGTCCCAGTGGCTTACAAACTCCTTTCCCTTCCCCTCCCCACAACAGACACTCATGAGGTAGGTGGGGCTAAGAGAACTCTTTCCAGAACTGTCCTTGAGAGAACAGCTCTGACAGAACTATGGCTTGCCCAGGGTCATCCAGCAGCTGCAAGTGGAGGCGTGGGGAATCACACCTGGTTCTCCCAGATTAGAGTCCGCGCACTTAACCACTACACCAAACTGGGGATTTAAAACAAGGCCTCGAACTATTACACCATACTAGCTTATATCACTGCCAGATAGATAGATATATAGTATGCCAGTGTGGTAGATTGTTCAGACTGTTGTTCTAGGACCAGGGACACCCCAGTTCAAAACCCTGCTTGCCATGAAACTTACTGGGTGACCTTGGGGTAGTCACACTTTCTCAGCCTAACCTACTCCACAAGGTTCTGGTGGGGATAAAATGGAGGCGAAAAGAACTATATATCCCACTATGAGCTTCTTAGAATTAGGTCAGGGTAAAAACACACTCGAAATATTCTTTGTGTGGTTATTTAGCACATAAGCAACATCCACCGCCTTGAGAAGTCCATCATTTGTTTATTATGTGAACTCACAAGAAAGCCCATGCATGGGGGTGGAAATGTTGACACCTTCTCAGGTATGACATGGGAACAATTGCAGAGATGTTGCAGGAGCATGAAAGGGATGGGTGAAGGTCTTTCCATACTCAAGGCATTCATTGATGGTTTAGCTTACTGCTTTCCTTCACACAAATGCCATTTCTTTTTTAGGTCAGTCGTGTAGTGACAGAGAAAGCCCAGAATGTGCTGAAGATTGAATATGGTGAAAATTGCCTAACCCTATCAGCAAGGTAGGCAACATCATGCCATCATTATTTTTTTAACGTGAATTTCTAGACTAGTGCAAAATGTCTTCATGACTAAATTGGTGTCTCTCTATCTTTAAACTCCATTTTATATCCATGGTGTTGTGACAGATAATGGCTTTAAAGAAGGCATTTGTTTTAAATATAAGGCTCAGAAGACTCAGCTACCTCAACAATTACAGTGAGCTAAAGGATTCAATTGAGCACTTGAGAAGATTTTTAAAAGAGAGGGAAGAGTAGAAAATCTGTTTCTAATAGCCGCACAGCCTGTCTCATGATGTGTTCTCACTTTCTCCCTGTCATGTTTTGCCTGCTTTATTTCTTATAACTTCATTGAGGTGACTGAAAAGCTAATGAAAAGTAATCCACCAGTTTGACACCCTGTATTTAAAGATATTTTATAGCACGTGAATAATAGAAGAATGATTACAATATTTTTAGTATGATATGGATCTCTGTTTCCAAATAACTTCTTTAAGGTCCCTTTCATACCGGCGCAGCTTTGGCTTCTGAAGGCAAATGGATTTTTTAAAAGGTTTTACACCCCTGAAGGATAAAATGCTGTCCTCCCACAGTTAATGAAGCTTTCATCCATGTTTTCTAAAAAAAACTGTTGGGCTCCAGTTTTCTGTTGTTGCTGTTGCATTTGATATTGCTGGTGTTACTACAACTAGGCTCAATGAAGAAAAGTTTGGGTCCTGGGAGGAAAAAACATTAATGAGTCTCCGATTTTTATTTCCTATCCACCAACTTCCTCTGCTCATCTCTGATAATTGCATTAGCTAACAGAATTGGCCAGTCATTGGCAGGAGAATTGTGTTATCTATTTGTAAAGTAATTCTGAACATAAAATTAAAGGAGGAATAAAACTAGAGAAGTTAATATCATGATAGGCAGCCTCACACTCTTTTGTAAAAATGTTTGGAGGTTGAAATGACCCTCTATTGTAGGGTTGCTGGGGTGGGGAATGTCCTGCCCCTTTAATAGTGGCTTAATGGGATAGTATTTACCAGGTGATGTTATTTACTTCCATGCCATTAAAAGTTTCAGCTGCGCATTTCCACACATTGACCCTCTTAAAGGGACAGGATATTTTTCACCAGGTGTATTGGCAACCCCACTCCGTTGCTCATAAACCCTCCATAGCTACTAAAGGCCAAGAGTTATGTATACATGCACCCCAGGCTCATACCCTTGGATACATAAGATGGAAATTTGGGTTGCTGCTGGGAAGCAAATAGCCTGTGCAGCATCCCTTCAGCCCAGCATGAGGCCTTCCGGGGTATTCAGGGCCAGAACCAAAGAGCTTGGTGTCTCTTTCTTCTTCTCATCCCCAACCCACTGGGGCATAAATGTGGCTTCCTGTTTTCATCCTTTGAGTCTAGCACCAGCCCTTGTGATGGCCTCTGGGCTAAATGGAAAAGTAAGCAAACCCACACCACCTTTTGCCCCTCACTGGCCTCTCCAGTAGGGTTGCCAAATAGATTTGACTCACCGGCGGGGGAGGCTCCTTCCCGTCCGGGAGTCTTCCGTGTGTGTGCGCGCGCGCCGCCGGCGCGTCCCCGGAAGTGACGTCACACGCTGGGCGGGGCCACACCATTTGAGGGGGAAACAAAGAGTTTTCCCCTCAAATGGCGTGGCCCCGCCCCCAGCGTGCAACGTCACTTCCGGGTGACGCGCACGCGGGTGTGGGTTTTCCCCCGGGCCCCGATTCCGGCACGCCGGGAATCGGGGCTCCGAAACGGGGGATTCCCCGCCCCCCGGCTGCATTTGGCAGCCCTACTCTCCAGTGTCTTGTTGCCTGCCAGATAAGGAATTAGTAGGAAAGAAGTAGGGGGAGAAATCTCCTTCCCCACAAATCCATTGCTAACCACTTTTGTGTGGTATAAGTGAGATCAGGAGAGTACTTTGGAATGCTCTCTGTGATGCTTTAAGGAGCTCCCAGAACTTTGTTCTTTCTCAGTAGCCCTTTTTAGTCATTACAACTTTGGCATTCCTACCTTGTGTACCATGAGAGCACACTATGTGCGATTTTCTGGAGACGCACAGCAGCCATTTTGTATGAACTGGTTGATGTACATATTTTCCTGTTTCAGTATATGTAAAAAGAGACCCAGATTTTTTAATTTTTTTGGGCTGATATGCATTTGCACATACCAAAACTGGAAAAATGCATGTGTAGCCCCGTTCACACAAAATGGCAGCCATGTGTATCAAAAGGTATGCTCATAGTACACTATGTTGGTGTTTAAGGTGGGGGTGCCAAAGCTATAAGTACTGAAAGGGGCTTTTGAGACAATACATTCCATTGCTCCTGTTGTGGTATGTTGGACCTCTAAGAAGGGTCAGCTACTCTAGTGTAATCCTGCCATAAACGGAGTTCTACTTTGTAGCATAAACTGGTCGTGATCCTGCTGCTTAATCTAGACAATTCATATTTCCTACAGTTGAAATATTGTGTTTAAACATCGTCTAACATGAATATGCACATTGTAAGATATAAGGAACACTAAAAATACAATCTTTCCCCCAATAAGACATAGAACCACTTATCCTCTCATTATGCTGTTTCACTGCCACTGCTACACAATTTAGTGTAGTGGTTAAGAGCAGCAGACTCTAATCTGGAAAACCATTTGATTCCAGAATCCTCCGCATGCAGCCAGCTGGGTGACCTTGGGTCAGTCACAAGATCTCTCAGAGCTGTTCTCTCAAGAGCAGTTCTCTCAGAGCTCTCTTGGCCCCACCTACCTCACAGGGTGTCTGTTGTGGGAGAGGAAGGGAAGGAGAATGTAAGATGCTCTGAGACTCCAAGTGAAGGGTGGGATATAAATCCAACTCTTCTTCATCATCATCATCATTGGTTGATAATATAATGACTTCATGACAGTGAGTAAAAAGTAGTATAGATTTGAAAAGAGCTAGACCTTAACTCAGGACAATCCTCAGTAGCAGCCCTGTGTTTTGGCTGCAGCGCATAGTTGTATCTGCTCTGTACCCTGAATTATCTTTTTTTGTATGCGTGACTGGTCTTTTTGGGTTATCACCTTCCCGTTGTGCCCTTTCTTTGTTTACATGGTGACACTTAGAGAAATTACATTCTAGCAGGCTGTAGCAGTGCTTGGTAATGTTATTAAAGTGACCGGCACTCTAGGGAATTCTTCTAAAGTAGAAATTGGTAAGGAGCAAACTTTGCAATTAAATGCTTCAAATGAATCTGGCAAAAGTCATTGACTGGAATATTTTTTAATGGAAAGATCGTAGGGATGCACAAATTAAACCTATTAGGAACAACTTTTAAAGAATTGGATGACTCCAGGATATAGGAAAGCTATTCGTAAGCAAAGATGGCTGTGTATTGAGCAATTGTTCACCCCCTCATCATTGTTACTTAGCTGGCCGGCAGCAGATTAGCTTTTATGCAGAATGAGCATCGTTGTGCTTAGGCTAAATAAGAAAGAGCTGTGGCACCCTAAAGAAGAACAAATTTATTGCAGCATACACTTTTGTGAGCCAGAGCTGTTTCGTCAGATGCAACTGGCATGCGTTTGACAAATCAGTCGCCAGCTTATGAAAGCTGATGCCACACAATGAATTTAGGATGCCGCAAGACTCTTAGTTGTTTTGGCTACAGCAGACAAACATTGGCCTTCCCGCCTCTACAATAGGAATTTAGATAACCTAGCAAAAAGTTATTCAATTGGTAAAACTATCAGGCTGTAGAAAGTCTGCTGCTGCATCCCTTCCCTGGCCTGTTCTGTGCTAAGCTTTTTCCCCCTGTTGTCTGCTGTGGTGTAGCAGCAGACTGGTGTTGTGGTTCCAGTTAGCCTAAATACATTATAAAAACAAACAACCTGCTCCAATGAATAATGAAGAGAACATTTACACAGCTGTGTGTGTGATATTACAAACCTGTATGTCTAGAGTTGCTCTGTCTCTGTCCTAAAGGTAAAGGTAAAGGTTCCCTTGCTCGAAAGCCAGTCGAATCCGACTCTAGGGTTGCGGTGCTCATCTCCGTTTCAAAGCCGAAGAGCCAGCGCTGTCCGAAGACGTTTCCGTGGTCATGTGGCCGGCATGACTAACCACCAAGGCGCACGGAACGCTGTTACCTTCCCACCGAAGTGGTACCTATTTATCTACTTGCAATTTCTTGCTTTCGAACTGCTAGGTTGGCAGGAGCTGGAACTAGAGACAGGAGCTCACCCCGTCTTGCGGTACCCGGGTCTTGAACTGCTGAACTACTGACCTTCCACAGCCTGCAGTTCAGCGTCTTAACCACTTGAGCCACCGCAGCTCCTGTCTCTGTCCTAGACGTTGTATAACTCTTCTTCATCTTCTATAGTGAGTTATTTACATGGAAGAAATTTAGGATTGCCTATTCAGGGTTGGGAAATAACCTGGAGATTTTGGGTGCAGAGTCTGAGGGGGGCAGGGTTTGGGGAAGGGGAGGAACTTCAGTGGGGTATAATACCATAGAGTCCACCTTTCAAAGTAGCCATTTTCTCCAGGTGAACTGATCTCTGTCGCCTGGAGATCAGTTGTAAACCCAGGATATCTCCAGCTACCACCTGGAGTTTGGCAACCCTCAAGAGATTAGTGCCAATTAACAAACCAAAAAAAGTTTTATAGCTACACATTAAAAATATAATAATCTGTAATCCAGCTGTGTACTGAAGCAGGTGAAAAAGGTCTGCTTTTATGGGCATATGATCTCTGATTGGCTGTCCTTGCTAAACCTACTTTGAAATGCATTGTTGGTTTGTATATCCTTTCTTCCCTCTTACTCAACTTAGAATATATGGAATAATTTTAACTTTATAGCAGTCAAACAATTAAAGTTACCGTTATGCTAATCTATTGACTCTTTGGTCTTAGGGATTTGTCTGCACTGAGTAATGCCACTATTTTGTGCCATATATACTGCTGTCATCTGAACACTCACACATATGTCACAAGAAAGTCATAGATACAATAGAAAAAGCAAGGTATTGATCATTTACTGTTGCAGCTAGTGTGTGGTTTTTCGACATGCACTTCAGCTGATATCCCTGACTATCCATATGCAGTAGTGATACCAGTTCCATAACTCTTCCACTTTTGCCTGTATTTCTTTTAGATTCTTCTTCCCAGTTCCCTTGTGTGCCTTTCATAGTACAAGTGGCAATTTTTCGGTTGAATCTAGCCGGGATTTTGAGGGGGGGGGCTGACTCTCTCTCAAGAGAGCCAGTTTGGTATAGTGGTTAAGAGCACTGACTCTAATCTGGGAGAACTGGGTTTGATTCCTCACTCCTCCACATGCAGCTGCTGGTGTGACCTTGGGTCAATCATAAGTTCTGTCAGAGCTGTTCTTTCAAGGGCAGTTCTCGAGAGAGCTTTCTCAGCCCCACCTACCTCACAGGGTGTCTGTTGTGGGGAGGAAGGGAAAGCGATTGTAAGCCGCTCTGAGACTCCTTCAGGTAGTGAACAGCAGGGTATAAATCCAATCTCCTCTTCTTCTCAGTTTCCCTTCATACTACATCTCCTGTCCTTCATGGCTTTTGTCCATGAAGGTCTCATGATCCCTGGCATGGCCCTTTTGGTGGTCAAAAGGGACTCTGCCTTCCTTTTTTCACCAGTTGAAAACTTGGTTGGAGCCAACCCTTAGTGTCTAATTGGACACAGCTGGTAAATAAGTTAAATTTTATTATCAACATTTATGAATGCATTCACAAACTCTGTTAAGTCTTGCTTTGACATGTAAAGTTCATTGTCGACTGTTTTTCTGACTGGGCTCCCATGTCTTTATATAACAAGCTGAAGCTTTTCCCAGCATGTTGTGACAGTGGTAGGAAAACATTTTTGCCAGTTAACTTGTGATTTGGACTAATAATGATATAGGAGTCCTGCCAGAAAAATAATGTTGGTAACTCTGATCTCAGGGGAGTTTAGTGCAATAACCATCCTGCCAATAGGGATTAGAGGGTAGAAAGTGGAGTTAGTTTTCACTAGTGTGGAGAGTAAATAACGCTGTAAGTCCGGGCCATAAGGTGATGTACAGCATCTTTCCTCATTATGCACCTGTCCTGGACCCTCTTTTCCACAGCAGGGCCATTGACTTTTATAGTGGCTGGTGTTTTTCACAGTAAAGTGCTCACTGGCAGGGATATGGGAATTCAGCATCAGCCAAGGATCATTGATCAGCTCTTTGCTTTTCTCCCACAAAACAGAAACTAGTCTCACAGGTCTTGTTTGGTATCCTTCTAGAGGACAGGATGAAAGGATCTCAATAGAAGGGCCATCAGCACTAATATATATTATTTATTGAAAGAAAGTTAGACGCCAGAAATCTTTCCTGTTGAAAAACCAATGGAAATGACAGCAAATACAGCAGTGAGAATGGGCCTGTGTAATAATAAATATAACTAAATGAAATGAAGTGGATACACCCCTCGTTGGCTCGTAGAACTTATTGCTGCAGGACGGGGTGATGGCATCTGGCTTAGAGGGATTGAAAAGGGGCTGGACAGAGCACATCACAGGGAAGTGACGTCATGACGCCGGGCACGCTGGGGGCGGGGCCACGACCATACAAGGGAAAACCATAGAGTTTTCCCTTGTATGGCCGTGGTCCCGCCCCCAGCGTGCCCGGCGTCATGACGTCACTTCCCTGTGACATGCACGTTGGGGCAGGGTTCCCCCCGGGGCCCGATTCCCCGGCGTCGGGGAACGGGCCTCTGGGGCGGGGGGATTTCCGCCCCCCGGGGGGACTTGGCAGCCCTAAAGCCATGATGCCTGAATGGGACATTCAGGCTGAGAAGCAGAAGGCCTCTGTTTGTCACATGCTGGGGAGCTAGTCTGTTGGTCTGTTCCCTGTGGCATCTGACACTGGAGACAGGTTGCTAGACTAGGGGAACTCTTGGTCTGATCCAGCGTGGAATGGCCTACCAGTCAAGTTGCCAAACTCCAAGTGGTGGCTGGAGATCTCCTGGGATTACAGCTGATTTCTAGGTGACGGAGATCAGTTCACCTGGAAAAAATGGCCACTTTGGAAGGTGGACTCTATGGCATTATGCGCCATTAAAGTCCCTCCCCTCCCCAGGCCCTGCCCTCCAGATCTCCAGATAGGTCCCATCCAGAGTTGGCAACCCCACCTACCAGGATGGCTGCAGAGGACGCCTACACTTGTTGCATTTGGGAAGGCGTGTAAAATAGTTTTCTTTCAGGAGGCATTTGGTGGGAGGAAAATTGTTCTGGCCAGGGGCCATTTAATAGAAAAAGACGTGCAGGAGCTCATTAGCATAACTCATTAGCATAAATTATCTGCATATGCCACACCCCCTGGCATCACCAGAAGTGTGTCAGAAGCCAACACCCACCGCTCAGACTCCACTGTACTGTTTTGGATTGCTAGCTATTGGGAGGGAGGGAACGTGCAGATCTGTCCTCACAGAGGAGGGAGAGCTTGTACCTGAATAAAACATGGTCTTAAAGGTGCCACTGGGTCGGGGGGGCTGGGGGGGCTCTGCAACTTACCTGGCTGCTTCTTGCTCTGACTGAGGGCTGCTGGGAACAGGGGGTAGGGCTTGTTGCATGTGCCCACCCCCTGGGCTCTTTACTGCTGGAGATCCGCTCCTGTGCACTCCTGCAGGAAATGACCTCTGGTTCTGGCAAATTTGGCTGCATTTCTAACTTGTGCACTAATCTTAATTTTACGAATAAGCTGTAACATTGGTGTCTTTGCCAGCAGTTAGCTGCCCTGAGTCTAAGGAGAAAATGCAGGATGCAAATATTTAAAGTAAGTAAATAATTGTTGACCAGGCTGCTGCATTTCTCTCCACAGCTCATGCTCTGAAAGGGACGAGTGGTACAGCTGCATCAGCAGAAGCATCCCAGATGACTACAGGGCTCACAGCACAGCTGCTTTTCACAACAGTGTGGAAGTAAGAGTGAGTTCCAGCAGAATTTGTGGGCCTAGTTCAGTAGGCTAAAGAAAGAGTCCCTGATGGCCAGGCATTTAGATTAGTTTGATGTAAATCGGCCTGCCAAGTCTAGACGACAAAGGTCATCAGAGGCACATGTGTTTAATATTCAGCCTGCTGAGGTTGTTGCCGGAATTTTAAATACTTTCCAGTTCTGTTTTTATGCAGTGATCTATAGAGGGGTCCCCAGGTGCTCGGCTGGAATGGGACTAGCATTATTCAGTCCTTTATTTCTCCTGAAAACATTTTCATTTGCTAATTGGGGCTGCATGGGTTGATCCATGGAAGGTGGCTGATGGGTAATCCCATCTTGAGGCAAGACTACTTGGCGTTTGGGGGGGACTTGCAATTCTTATAATTCTCTACCTTTTAACTGCTGTTGGCTTGGGAATTGTTTTGCAAATATGTAAAACACAAATAACTTATTTCTTCCTGCACAAGTATTCTTTTCTCCAGACCAGGGCTGGCGTCAGCATCCCCGGAGGCGGGGCACCTGTTACGGCCCAGGGCTTATGGTGGGGGCCCACTGCGACAGACCTCTTGCCCATGTTCCTGCCCTTGCACCTGCCAATGTTCCCTCCTTCCCATCTGCCATATGCACTGCTTAGCATCACTGGGGAAGGATGTGTAGGTGGTAGTGTTTTTAAGCAGCAATGGCAGTGGCATTTCCCAGCCACACTCCACCCAGAGAAAGGTTGTGTGGGAGGGCTTGCAGGAAGAGGAAAGACACTTTGGCAGATGGGGGTGGGTGGGGAGGAAGATGCCAGTGTGAGGAGCCTGGTGGTGGGGAGAAGAGAGGAGGGGAGGGGGCCTTGAGACACTCTTTGACTAGGGCCCACCAAAACCTGGGACTGGCCATGCCCAGGACAACCTCATCTGAATTCATCTTGTGGTTCAGTTTAAAGTGCACTATAAATTTGCCTAGAAATATCTATACGTATATATGGGTTTCTTAAATCAGTTTGAGTACGGATTCATATTTGGAGTAACAAACAGCATTTGGTAAAAAAAAAAAATCTTGAGTGATCACCTGAGTTGGAGTTGCAAAGGAAATCTGGGACAAGGCACCCTTGTGGCTGTGATTTTAAAATGCCACAAGGCCCTTATCAAGCAGTGTGGCAGGATGAGGACCTGTTCCCCCCTTATCAAGTGCACCCCCATAGCTGTTTCGGTACTTGAAGAGGCATGGGGGGGAGAGTGCTGCATTGAGGGCCCAATCAGGATTGGGCCCCCACAGCATTGTAAAATCACTTTAAAATGGTCAGGGTGTCCTTGTGGCCATGAGGATGCCGTCATGTCTAGTTTGGCCCTGAGTTTGAGAGCTTCTGTATAATTTTTTTCACAGAATATTTGGAATGTGAGTAATTAATTCCCAAAAAAATGTTTTAAAAAGTTTTCTCTAGTTAAATTGTTTCCCCCCCCCATATATAAATTATTGAATAATTATATTCTTTATTCATTTTCAGGCCTTATAATCAACCTGCCTTGGTACTAACATGTTTAGTGTGCATGTATACAATAATTTGACCACTGAGAAAGGCCTTGAAGGCCAAAATGCTGTTTTAATATGGTTCAAGGTTATCAACCTAGAGATCAATCTGTTTTATTGGTTCAAGGTCTTATCCTAGAGACATTGAATTGTATCATGTTCTATAGATTCAGGACTTTGTTCAGGGGTGGGATGTGCCTATGTTTTTTAAAGGAGAGTTTTATTGCACTTTGTAATAAATACATATATCTTATTTAATTTATTTCTCCTAATTTGCTGTCACCCAACCTTTGGATACCCAACTTAAAAAAAAATTATTTTATAAAAATATGTCCTGAAAGGCTGCTTCACCCATGACAGTTTTATATGCTGTAGATATGATGGATGTGCGTCTTTCCATGCTGAGTGATGACATGCTGAAGAACAGCACTGAATCCCACTCAGTGTATCTACCATAAAGCTCTTCAGATGATGCATGGCTTGCATTATGTGGCAAAACTTAGAATAAACTAGTACAATGCATTTTTATTTTAAGCTTAGGGAAAGACTGGGGATATCCTTGGGTGAGAGACCCCCAACTTTGGTGCCCGTCTCCCATGTCATGATGTGCATGAATTGTGGCTGTGACTTCAAGCTCACGTTGAGGCGCCATCATTGCCATGCATGTGGGAAGGTAAATGTCTTACATGATCACTGGATGTTTTCAGACTATTTTCTATAAAGCTTCTTTATCACACCTTTATTACACCAGAGAAATTTAGTGAGTGGGAAGGATTTTGTATGGGCTTGGCAATATGCATTAACATAACTGAATTGCCAAATGTATGGTGAATACCAGGGGTCATTTTGTAGAAAAAGAGGTGCAGGAGCTCATTAGCATAACGCATTAGCATAACTTATTTGCATATGCCACACCCCCTGACATCACCGGAAGTGTGTCAGAAGGCAACACACACCGCTCAGGCTCCACTGGACTCTTTTGAATTGCTAGCTATTGGGGGGGGGACATGCAGATCTGTCCTCACAGAGGAGGGAGAGCTTGTACGTAAATAAAACTTGGTCTTAAGGGTGCCACTGGACTGCTTTGGCCCGGGGGGCTGGGGGGGGGGCTCTGCAGCTTGCCTGGCTGCTTCGTGCTCTGACTGAGGGCTGCTGGGAGCAGGGGGTGGGGCTTGTTGCATGTGCCCACCCCCTGGGCTCTTTACTGCCGGAGCTCCACTCCTGTGTGCTCCTGCAGGAAATGACCCCTGGTGAGTAGTAGTGATGGGCATGGACTGAACCACAAAGGAAAACTCTTCACAAATTATGCCCTGTTCATGGTTTGGGAACAGAAGTTCATGACGGTTCTAACCTCATGAACTTCCATGAACTTTTAGAGCGATTTGTAGTGGTTTGTGGATGGAGCAGAAAGCAGGCGTTTAAAGGGACTCTGAGTTCCTTTAAACCCATTTTCTGTTCCCTGTAAAAGCCACAAAAACAGCTGAGCAGCAGGAAAGCACTCCCTGCCACTCAGCTGTTTAGGGCTGTCTTCTGCAGTCCCTTTAAAGATTAAAGGAACTGCACAAGACAGCCTGAACAGCTGGGTGGTGGGGAGCAAGGTGCTCCCCAGAGATCAGCTGTTTCTTGAGCTTTCTGCAAACCCTATTTAAAGGGACAGTGGTCCCTTTCAATGGGGTTTGCAGGACCACAAACCAACATGAACCGGTTTGGTTTGTGAACAAGCCTCCCCCTTTGTTTTGGTTCGTGGTTCAGTTTGCAGTTTGCAGTTCAGCCACGAACTGAACTGCATTTTCCCAGTTTATGTCCATCCTTAGTGAGTATATCATGTCCTCATTGTAGAAATCCTTGCACTGGGGGCCCATAAGAGTTTGTCCATGCCTCAGTGCTCTCTCTGTTTTATTACCCATTTTAGAATATGATGGGCAGGAATTAGTTTTGTTACATGTAATGGTAAGGATTAACTGGAAAATAGAGGCAGAGTTGGATGTAAAAATAGGCCTGGGGCCAGCCAAGTTGAGCTACCCCTGCAGTGCTGACCAGTGACTGGTCAGCACTGCAGGGGCCACTCAGCTGTGGTGGGGCGTACCCATTGCCTCCTCCCACAAGAAGAAGGAGGAGGAGGAGGAGGAGGAGATTGGATTTATACCCTGCCCTTCACTACCCGAAGGTGTCTCAGAGTGGTTTACAAACTCCTTTCCCTTCCCCTCCCCACAACAGACACCCTGTGAGGTAGGCGGGGCTCAGAGAGCTCTTGACAGAAACTGCTCTTTTTCAAGAACAGCTCTTATCAGAACTATGGCTTGCCCAAGGCCATCCAGCCAGGTGCAAGTGGAGGAGTGGGGAATCAAACCCGGTTCTCCCAGATTAGAGTCCGTGCACTTAACCACTACACCAAACTGGCTCTGTGGAAATGGCGACAATTCCTTACTGGGGAAAGCAATAGGTGAGCTGACACCAATTATCGTTGCTGCTGAAGAGTCCAATTCAAGTAGCCTATGAGGCTCTGGAAGAGTTGCTGGGGCTTGACTCAGCCTGCTTCTCACCACCAACTGGACTCTTCGGCAACAGCCCACCAGGACAGTTCTCTGTAAGTTAAATGGCCAGTCCACTACTGATAACAAATGCAATCCATGTCAAGCTCTTTGTTCAGTCCTGCAAGCACATTTTTGCAATATACCTGTTCTATACATATCATATACATTGACTGGGGGGGTGTTAGATAGTCTTCCTGCCCCGCGACATAGTGTTAGACTAAATTACCTTTAGCCCATTCCAATGCTGATTCACCCTCTTGCTAGAATTAGGCTAAAGCAAAATGTATCCTTTGGGTTTTGTCTTCTTGCAGATCGTGTGCCGAAATTGTTCAAGAAACAAGTATGCTCTGAAGTACCTCAAAGACCGACTAGCAAAAGTTTGTGATGGCTGCTATGCAGAATTGAAGAGGAGAGGTGACTACTCTATGCCTCTTGACTGCGGGCCAAACTAAATGTGATGGTGTCCTTGTGGCCACCTCAAAGATACCGCTGCTATTCTAAAGACATTTTAAGATGTCACAACCGGGCCTGCAGCACTATGCTCTTGTCTTCGTTCCACACACCCCCAGCATCTTTTCAAGTAATGAAACAGCCCCCTCCCCCTAACACTTGCAAAAATGCGGGGGGGGGGGGCAAGAGCACCACACTGCAGGCCCAATCGCAACATTTTAATGTGGCAGCAGCATCCTTATGGCAGCCACAAGGATGCCATCGTGTTTAGTGTGTCCTTGAGGCAATGGAAAGGGAACCCTGCCTAGTAGGCAGAGACAAAAGGTTCTTAATACTATGGCGAATCCAAAAAAAGGCCATTCTAGAGGTAATTTAAATATTTCCTAGGCATTCAACAGGGATCAAGATAAGGATGAAGGTAGCAGGCAGCACTGGTTGCTGCTTCAGTAATTGACCATACCCCCATTACTCCTTGAGGACCAAATTTGCAGTCTTTTCCATGAAGGCTAGTGAGTTCAGAACAAACAAACAAGAGGGAGCAAGGGCACCTCTGAGACCAGTGGATTCAGACAGGTCAGAATTGGCTGTGGAGTGAGAATACCCTAAATCGTCATGTTATTTATTTTATACTCTTTGCATGTTTTCCATGTATGAGGTCCCAAGTTCTACCCCTGACATTTCCAGTTAAAGGATCTTGTGTAGCAGGACTTGAGCAAGATGTTCTGTGTCCAAGATCCTAGAGCAGAAAGCACTGAGCTAGATGGACCTGTGGCCTGATTCTAGGGATAAGGCAGCTTAATGTACTCAAATACAGTTGGAATCTTACAGATTAGTACTAAAGAACCTTTGGGGTCATATGGAAAGAGTATTTTGATCTGAGCGAGGGAGGCCCAGGTCTAGCACAACTCTTAGTCATAATGTTCACTGAGTCCTGTGGTGCAAGTCACTATCTTGCATCCTAACCTACTTTGCAGGGTAGATTTGAAATAGGAAACTCTGTGGGTTCAATTACGTGGCTCTTGGTCTGCATAGGGCTCGTGCTCTGGAAATCAATTATCCTGGAGTTAGAAAAGACTGGAAAGAACAACAGAAAAGATCCTTATCCATCAGTGCTTTCCCCTGACAGATTGCTGGAACCACTGGTGGCCAGCAGTAGAATTCATGCCTGCCCTCCAGGATTCTCTAGATGCTCCAGTGCTAAAGTAGACTTATCCCCCCCCCCCCTTAACTGGCCTATCCCCCCCCCCCCCTTTTCTGGCACTCAGGGCCAAACTACATGTTATGTTTTCTAATGAGTTGGATCCGAGTTCCACAGACCCAGCTCACTTTCCCTGCAGCCACACAGCAGCTGCAAGGAATGGCATTTTAGGTTGGGACCACTGCTTCAGGGGAGGAGGGGCTCCTGCCTTTGACACTGCACCATTTTCCTGAACCCAAATGGCCCAGGGGAAAATTATTTGCCCCATTTTGGAGCTGCGCATGAAGAAAACATAACATGTAATTTGGCCTTCTGCTGATGATGCACACTGTGACCTCATCAGAATGTTGGGGGTTGCAGGGCCATAGCTACAAAGGCCATATGGGGGCAAATCCACCTTGCCATTCCCCCTCTCTGAATTTGCAGCTTTTATTTATTTATTTATTTTTAAATTAAGTCTCTTTTTTGTGGAGGTAAGGGAACATGTGCTAACCAACACACTTGATGACTTCTTGCATGCCTGCTTCTGGTAAACTACTGCAGGTGAAAATTGGAGATGGGAGGTTTAAAAAAATCTAGTATTAACAACAGAACTATATTTTACATTTACCTATTCCTGGAGAGTCCCCACAAGTAGGTAGAGATCCCTGCTATGCTCTGTTGTATAGTTTTCATTATTGGGGCAAGTTGCTTGGAGAGGTAGCGTAGACATTTTCTAGATATTAGTTGTTGTAGATTTTCCGGGCTGTATGGCCGTGGTCTTGGCATTGTAGTACTTGACGTTTCGCCAGCTGCTGTGACTGGCATCCTCAGAGGAATAACACAGAAAGATGGAGTACTCTCTGTGTCAATTGACAGCTGCTGGTGAAATGTCAGGTACTACAATGCCAAGACCACGGTCATACAGCCCGGAAAATCTACAACTAATGAACTCTGGCCGTGAAAGCCTTTGGCAACATATTTTCTAGATAAATATTCATGGGGAGGGGTCAGCCACTCTACTAGTAGATATAGAGACAGTAGTAACTAAGTGTTTTGAGACTGGATGAGATCCTTGAATATGAGATGGAGAAAACCCAGGTGCCAAACAATCTTTCTTCTCTTCCCATCTCCACCATTACAGAGCGGCCAATGAGCGTGAGCTTCCCTACCAGTTCATCCAGGTTTTCAGGCAGTGCCTTCTCTTCTGTCTTCCATAATATCCACTACTCATCCTTCAAAAGACAAAAGAAAATCCCTTCAGCTCTTTTGGAGGTAGGATCAAGGATGCCTGCAAAAAGGCAAGGCAACTAAAGGGTGGTGTACTAAATGACTGTTCAATCTCTAGAACTCGGTTGCAAGCCTTAATTAAATCCCAAATGTTTTTAAAAGGTTATGTAATTTCTCAAACTTCCATCTGAAAATGTCAGTAAAAAATTAAACATGTTGGTTTAAAATATACTCTATATGCTGAAATAGGATTTTCCCCATTTTCCCCAGACATACAATTCCTTACCTGTCCCAATGCTCCTTTTTCTTATGACAACTGAGACTTGGATTAAAATGCATTGTTTAACAGGAAAGTATCGAAATCTCTGTCTCCTAAAGCAAAGAGTGACTACAATTTTGGTTTTAATCATTAGATTTCTTGTAGATCATTCTGGCCGATCAACCATATTCCCCATGCTAATTCTCCTGCCTGGCTTTAAAATCTTATTCAAAGGCTTGGTTCAGACATAACGTGAAACCATGGTATATTGTAACTTGTGAAGCCAAGATTCAGTTTACAGATGATCATTCAGATCGTGTTTTGCCTCAAAAAATGTTTTCATTGCCTTTGTTTCCCCTTTCCTCCCCCATGGAGGCCTGCAGTGTGGAAAGGATCTGGGGAACAAATCAGGATTAAGCCAAGATTGCCCATGTTCAGGGCTTTTTTTGTAGAAAAAGCCCAGCAGGAACTCATTAGCATAATAGGCCACACCCAATGGCAGATACTCATTAGCGTATTAGGCCATACCCCTGACAGTGCAGCTCATTCGCATATTAGGCCACACCCCATGCCTTCCCTTGGCTTGCCCAGGCACCCTGCGGCTGCGGGGAGCCCGGGCAAGCCGGCCCTTGGAGGGGAGGGGAGGGGAGTCAGTGGCTTGCCTGGGCGCCCCAGGAGCAGGGGGCCCCCTGGTCCGCCTGCCTCGGAGTCACTGAGGGGGTCACTCTCCAGGCCTTCCCTCTGTCGCCATGCACGCAGAGGTTTTGGCTGTAGTGGGCATGGCCTACTCTGAAGCCAGCCGGAACTCCGTTCCTGTACGCTCCTGCCCAAAAATAGCCCTGCCCATGTTCATATGTCATGCAAAACTGTAGTTAATCTAATTGTGATTAATAAACCAACTTCAGACCATTGTTTTACCCTAGGGTTGCCAGGTCTGGCGTAGCAACTAACAGGAGAGCTGGGGGGCAGGGACATTGGGAGGCAGCCATCAGTGATGGTGTGCCAACAGATCTTGGAAAACCCAGAAGGTATGTCAGTCCTCTCTAGGAATTGCCAAGAACTCTGTGGTTTTACCATGGAGTTTCCAGTGATTGCTAGAGATACATGAAGTCACTACTGGTTTTCCCCCAAAAGCAATGTCATGACATTGGCCCAGCAGCTATTTTTCTCTCCAAGAGAGAGGTGCAGGGGATTCCCCCACCTGGACCAGGGCACTGGCAGTGGCAACCCTATTCCATCCTAGTCTGATGACCCTAATCTACCATCGTTAGCAGAGTAGTCTGCATTCAGACAGTCATACTAATAATAGTTGAATTAAACTATGGTTATGCATGATGTTTGAACTGAGCCAAACTTGATTTTACATCTGCCTCTGTGCATGTGTGGGATTTTAGCATCTTTGCATCATTCTGGCCTAGTAAAATCAAAGTTAATGTACAACTTAATTCAACGAAGATGATGATGATGATGGTGATGAATAAAAACTATTCTGTCAGTCAACAAGTGAATAACAAAATATGAAAAACATTTTAATCGAACAGCAAAGATGACTAGTAAAACAGGAAACATTATGGGGCTTTGCCGGTTACAAGTATGAGAAGACTGTTCAGTCATTCAGTGAGCTGAGTACAAAAGATGATAATACAATACAGGCTAACAGCAACGATTTGTAAAACAAAACAGTGCCGTAAGGATGGTTGCCAGGTCTCCCACTATACTGGGAGACTTCCCAGCAACTCAGTATTTTGCCCAATAATGCCTGAAGTGACAGTGGGAGGAAATGGGGTAGAAATTAGGGTGCACCCCAGTGTTATGTTGGTTTTCACTGGAAGTGATGTCAGCATGCTGGTGTGATGCTGGCACGCCAGTTCCCACCTCTTCATTTCTTCCAGAGGGTACTGGCTGTAGCCTGGCAACACTAGCAGTGGGGCTGTTACTGAAGAACTAGAAAAGAACACAAACAAAAATCGTGTAAGGCAACAGAACAATCAGGAAAAGATTACCTCTTACTTCCTGAGCTGAACCATTATACTGTAGTTCTGCTCCCTTTGTAAGAATGCCCTCCTGAACAGCGCTGTTTTCCACATTCTGCAAAGCATTAGAAGTGGAGTCTTCCTGATAGCCTCAGACAGGCCTTTCCATAGTGTGAGTGTCACCAGAGCAGAGACAATATCCACGAATGTGTGGTTGCTGATTTTGCTTTTTTGCAGAGTGGCACCACAGACAATGGAAAAAAATTGCAATCACATATATAGCAAGAAGAGAACATAAAGAGCCCTGCTGGATCAGACCAAAGACTCACCTAGTTCAGCATGCTGTTGCCAGTAATGGCCAGGAAAGCCACAAGCAGCGCATGAAGGCAGCAGACAGAGTTCATTCACACTTCCTCTGGACACAGAGGTGCCCTGGCTAATGGCACCTAATATAAACACCCACCACGAATCTTCCACCTTCCGCTGAATTCTGTTGGTTAATTTTGTGTTATGCTTGTAGAAAATAATGAAGCAAAATTCAATTTCCAGCAGCTCTTGCTACTTTACAACCATTAGGGGGCAGCATGTACCTATTGCATCTGACCACGAGTGCTCTGACTCAAGAACGCTTAAGCTGGAATTTTGTTAGTCTTTTTTATTGAATAAGGTTACCTTCTGTAAATTTGTTATTGAATAAGGTTACCTTCTATAATGAAGCCGTGCACCATCAGCCTTCCTTATTACCTTGCATGTGTTCTGTTCCAGTTGTCGTATATAGTAACATTTACTATCTTATTTTAACCATCACTGGAGTTAATAGCCTCAAAAAATGTGTTGCATTTTAATAACATGATCCACCCTGCAATCTTAAGCAGCTAAGCAAAAGTGGTACCCAGGTCTATCAAATCAAAATTGTGCATCAGTTTCTCCATTGTGGAAATGCACCTCTTTCTAGACTACCAACAGTTAAAAGAATATATTATGGTATATGTGTGCCTGATATATTGTTTTTTGCAGTTACTCCAAAGGCTTCTTTGGTAGCAATTATAGAGTGCTGAATCATGACACAAGTGTAGATATGACCCAATCTTGGCATGAAAATCAGTCCTAATTTGCATGTCAAAATTGGGTTGTATCTACATTCATCTCATGATTCAGCCCTCTCAATTTTTTGAAAAAAATGCCAGTGAGGCTTCAGTATGTAAGGATATGGAAGGCCCAGGTTTGAATTCCCACTTTGCTCAGTAAGCTTGTTGGGTGACCTTGGCCCAGTCATGCACTCTCAGCCTAATCTATCTCACAGGATGGTTGTTATGAGGATAAAGTGAAGGAAAAGAGAATGATGGTGTAAGTTGCTTTGGGTTCTCATTGGGGAGAAAAACAGGGTATAAATAGCTTTGGTTGAGATCATCCTCCCCGGAGGCATTTGCCTGATGTTCTTCCATCTACAGGTGTCGGCCTCTGGAGAGGGCTCTTCGATCAGTGGCTATCTCAGTAGGTGCAAGAGGGGGAAAAGACACTGGAAGAAGCTGTGGTTTGTCATCAAAGGCAAAGTGCTCTACACCTATACAGCAAATGAGGTAAAGTCCAGAAGATGAGAGAGAATTTTCAGAGTATTTTCACGACTGACCTCACACACAAATTATATTTGGCACTCCAATCAATTTTGTCTATGGCCTTCCATCCTCATTGGCCATCTGAAAATTGTAAGGCAATTTGTAAACATCCAGTGTGCCATTTCCTCAAGAGTATCAAGTTGAAGCTTTGTTTCTATTTCTATTTATTTTATTTTTATTAATTCAATTTATACCCCGCCCTCCCCACAAGCAGGCTCAGGGAGGCTTACATAATTGGTCTATAAATGACCATTACATTCACATAAAATCAATCTAAAATTTCAAATACAGTAAAAATATAAACTCATAAAGTGCTAGTGCTGATACATTGGGTACATAAAATGGCATGCTGGAAATACCTTACAGCCGAACAGTTTGCCATTCAATGGTCTTCCTGAGCACAGCGGTGCAGGCCAGATGTTAGAACTATGGGCCGGCTCATTGGTAATAGTGGGGGCAGCTCCTAGTTGAAAGCCTGGTGGAAAAGCTCCATCTTACAGGCCCTGCGGAACTGCACAAGATCCCGCAGGGCCCTGATCTCCTCCAGGAGCTCATTCCACCAGTACGGAGCCACCACTGAAAAAGCCCTGGCCCTAGTGGTGGCGAGCCTGGCATCCTTGGGGCCCGGAAGGGTCAGTCAGTTATGGGACCCCGACCTCAGTGGTCTCTGGGGTATACATGGGGAAAGGCGGTCCCTCCGGTATGTCGGACCCTGGCCATATAGGGCTTTAAAGGTAAGCACCAGCACCTTGAAGCGGATTCGGTATGCTATTGGCAGCCAGTGCAGCATCTTCAGCACAGGCTGGATGTGCTCCCATTTCGGAAGACCCATCAAAAGCCTGGCCACGGCATTCTGCACTAGCTGCAGCTTCCGGATTTGCAACAGGGGCAGCCCCATGTAGAGAGCATTACAGTAGTCTAGTCTCGAGGTGACCGTCGCATGGATCACCATAGCTAGGTCATCGTGGTTGAGGAAGGGAACCAGCTGCCTAATCAGTCAAAGATGGTAAAAGGCTGTCTTGGCAGTGGCTGCCACCTGGGCCTCCATTGTTAAGGAGGGATCCAGGAACACTCCCAAACTCCTAACCTCTGGTGCTGGCACCAATGGCGCCCCACCGAAGGTCGGGAGCAGGGTCCCTCCTCCCAGACCACTCCAACTCATGCACAGGACCTCTGTCTTCGTCGGATTCAGGTTCAGCTGGCTCAGCCTAAGCCAACCAGACACAGCTTGTAGTGCCCGGTCCAGATCTTCTGGTATGGAGTCCAACTGGCTGCCCAACATCAGATAGAGCTGGGTGTCATCAACATACTGGTGGCACCCTAGCCCATACCTCTGGGCAATCTGGGCAAGGGGGCGCATATAGATGTTGAACAGCATCGGGGACAGCACTGCCCCTTGGGGCACTCCGCACTCCAGTGGGTGCCTCGTGGACTGCTGTTCCCCTAGTGCCACCCTTTGTCCCCAACCTTGGAGAACGGAAGCAAGCCATTGCAAGGCAAGCCCCTGAATTCCCATGTCGGTGAGGCGGTGGATCAGTAACTGATGGTCGACCGTGTCGAATGCAGCCAACAGGTCCAACAACAACAGTACTGCCAAACCGCCCTGATCCAGATGCCTCCAGAGGTCATCAGTAAGAGCAACCAGTGCTGTCTCTGTCTTGTGTCCCGGGCGGAAGTTGGACTGGAAGGGATCTAACGTAGAAGCATCATAGTCATAAGATCCATGATCTGGCACTGGAGTTCTTACCATAGATTTATATAGCAAATACAGGCTCTGTTTAGGTATCACAATAAACCAATGTTTTGGATCCCTTGGAGCGTTTCTGCAGGGAAAGTGATTTCTGCTAGGGGTGTGCAACAACAACAGAAATTGGCATTTTTCAGATCTGGATATAGTGGAGCAAATAAATACCAGTATTCTGTTTCTCGGGTTCCAAATACTGGTATGGTACTCAGATCCAGGATTTTTCAGGTTTCCAATATTTCTCAACTCCATTGTTCCCTATGGGGAATCTTTCCAGGGGACTGGGGGTATTTTTAAATTTACTGGCACCAAAGTTGCAGCAGAGCAGTTGGTGCCTGTCCTTTACTGAACCCCCAAATTTCAAGTCAACTGGACCAAGAGGTCTGATTCTATGAGCCCCTGAATAAGGTGCCCCCAGCCATCCTCCATTGCCTCCTACAGAGGGGGGAAACTGTAGAAAAATAGAACCCAAGAACCTCCCCCATAGGAAGGTGATTGGAAGCTATTGCTAAGCACAACTAATGTAAAACCCAAGAATACAAAAATATGTAAGACCCAAGAATCTGAACCTATGTAATGCATGAGAATCTAAACCTACATAAACCACAAGAATCTCAATGTAAAACACAGGAATCCAAAAGAAAATTTCAAACCTGGAACAAGCCAACTCCAACAAAGACGGAACTTGAAAAAAAGTTGAAACCAACAGACACTTACCTTAAGTAGCCTGGCAAGCCAATACCAAGCCCCAGGAGATACAGGAACACAGAGGGGGAAAGGGGGGGGGGGAGACAGTCCAGAGAGCCTGCAAACATCAGCTCTCAATCTTCCTGGTCACTCCTGAATTTTTCTAAGATTTTTCAGGACCCATTTTTTGTATCCCCAAAATCCCAGATATATTTGGGAGACCTGAATATATCGGAAAAATACTGATATGGGTTTTTTTTAATATATATAATTCAACTCAGTTATATCTGAGCTCACATCCTTAATTTCCACCCATGGAGTGTGACTCCTTCACCTTCCCCTTTTGCTGTCACCTGAAATGGTGTTTCTTCAGAAAAGGAAACACTGAGTAGGATTTAAGGCATTGGTTTGTGGAAGAATTCTAGTTCTTCTACCAGATGTGATTAACTAATCTTGGTTTGTGCATAAACACCAGGTTATCTGTTTCTTGTCCCCTCTCCCCCCACCCCAGCAGAGAGTATGTCTTCCTTGTACTCCTCTCTCTGTGACCAGGTAGGTACAAAAGAGGGAGGTGCTGTTCAACAAACTATGGTTTGTAAATTCAAATGTCAGAAAAATCACAACTGGTATGAACTCTAGTTTGAAATCTGTTTGGTGCCAACCAACAAACCCAGGTTTGCTAGATCACTTGTATTCATACATCCCAATTAACCAGAATTTGAGCAAACTGTGGTTAACAAACCATGGTTTATATCATGTCTGACTGCAGCCAGTGTCACTGCACCACCCTCACAAAGAGTGTTCTTCCTTATGCATAGCATTCCATCTGAAGCCCATTTCCCCTTCTGCACTGATTTTAGGATAAAGTCGCCACAGAGAGTTTGCCTTTGCTGGGTTTCACAATTGTCCCAGAAAAGGAAGACGGGAATATGGATGCAGTTTTCCATCTTTACCACAAGCAAACTCTGTTTTATAGCTTCCGAGCAGAAGATAACAATTCCACACAGAGGTACTGGGTGCTGATCCGCCCATGATAACATACTAACCTATGGTGGGGAAAGTATACGCCGTGCTTCTCACACCTCTAACTTCTGCTTGCTTCCTTTCAAGACTCTTTGAATGCTGCTCAACTAAGACTTAACTACTCTTGCATAGGCCCTAATTAGTGCCAATTTTAACTCAATAAACCCAGCACACAAAGACAGAAGCTTGGATCTAAGCCTTGCTTGCTTAGGAACCTATATCTGCTTCACCATGAGAAAAGGTCTGGGGTGGTTTATAGAGGCAAATGCATTTCTGGTGCAGTAACTGGGAATTGTTTGGCATGAGCACACCATGTTAATTAAGGCAAATGCACATTCTGTTTTGCAGTCTTATAATCACTCTTGTTATTATGATGTCTGGGCATCTGTGGAAATAGGAATGTTAGATGTGCTTGTTGCTCCCCTACCAACCCATGACCTCTTGGTTTCAGAACTAAGCAGCTCAATCCTATATGTGTTTAGTTGGAAAATAAGTGTTCACTGGAGTTCCTTTCCTTTCCCTCTAACTTAACAGCCCACAAACCATTCGTCAAAGTATTTTATACATAGTTTGCAACTGCATAAATATGGCTAGATCACATGTGCACTTTTTAAAATCTTGCCTGATAGTAAAATCTTTAGTTTCTGCTGTTCAGAAATGTTCTATAGGTGGTCAGTCCAGGGAGTAATATATTGGTTGTAAAGTGAATTATAACAGGCAGCTAAAAAGGATATGGGCAGTTGAGTCACCTTGATCCTTACAGTAAATACGAAAATGTTTCTCAGAGGGAATTCTACTAAAATGGCCCTTCTTCTCAGCAAAGGTAACACATTGCATCTAAGTAACATGAAAGAGTGATGATATTTTGGAACTGTTAAATAAAAGAAATATTTAGACAGTTCACTTTCTGATAAGATAAATGAAAGTAAACAGGGGAGCATTTCCGATCAGCTTTGAATTTTAGCATAGCCCAATCTTTTTCAAATAATCATTTCCGTACAGTTAACAGAATTTTTAATATGGTGAACTTTGAATCAGTTGGGCTAAGCCAAGTTCCCAGTCAGCAATCAGCTGTTACTAGTTGCAGTAAATATGGTAGAGCATTATATTCACAGCATGATAGTCTGAACTTAATAGCTATTGTTGATATTTGAGGGTGTCTGAGTCCTAGCTGCACCACAGCTGAAGATACACTGAGGGGAAGAGAGAGGATCTTATGAAAGAAAGTTTGCTGGAGCTTATCAAAAGGATCCAGTGATCCATGTTCACAGGATTTCAGAACCAACCATAGATGAGTTGGATAATTAAATACATGTACAAATCATTCATTTGTATTTCTAGAGATCAAGGCATAGGAATAATGTGAACAAGTGATCCTATTATGGAAAATACATCTTGCGAGTCCACTTTTCCTTACTGTTTTCCAGATGGTATGTGTGGCATATTGTTGTTGTTGTTTTTTAAATAGAGAGAAACATATAGGAAACTTTGAATAGACAGGGAGAAGGCTGAAATGCGGTGGAACTCATGTATATTGCTGTTTGTATACATACCCACACAGCTCACAACCTCCACCACCTTTCACAGTATTCTCTCCTTGTGGGTAACAAAGTAGGAAAAGTTCTTAATTAGTACACGGTTGATGGAGAGCTAACAATTAAGAAACAAATAATTCTCCCACAATTCCTAGCAGTGCTGCAATTCTCTGGCATCTGAGTTTCATTTTTTCTATGGACTCGCATGAATTCATACAATAACGCTTTCTGATCTTTTTTTTAGATGGATTAAAGCCATGGAGGAAGCATCTGTATTATAGCAGTTATCATCTCAGTGGACTTTAAATGAATACCTTTATATTTGCAGCAAAAACCCTTCTATTGGAGGAAACAGTATATACCCCAACCTGGAAAGAATTTGTCCAAGACTGTTTTCCCCCCTTCCTTCCACCCTCCAACTTGCTTCCCTACAAGTGGAGATTTTAAAAGGAGTATTTATGGCCCTTTTTCTATGGGTGCAATGTCATCCTTCACTGTATGCTCCAATATAATACAGTCGCATCCTATTTTCAAGACGTAGAATGTATGATTGTTTCTGAACTCACAGAATATGCTTGACTCGTTGCATCTGGCTCAGCTCCGCTAACCTGTTAAAACGTCCCGTCAACTTCGATTTGTTTTTTGTGCCAGCCATGAAAGTGAAATACAACGTCATACATTTTATTAAAACTCAGCTTCTTTTCTTCTCATCTAAGATCTCAGGACTGACATAACTACCAGTCCCTTTTCAAAGCCACTGTGAAATTGCAGTGTGCTTATTGGGAATGCTGCCACAGAAAGTGTGTGAGCACTCTCAGTCCACCAGTGTTCAACAGCAAGAACCCAGGATGGTAATTCAGCACTAACTTACCGAATTGATGGTAAGCATTTCCCTTCTTGCCAGTAAGCGTTTTCCTTCTGGACAACCCGAACCCAACTGAAGATTACATCAGTCTCCAGTCCAAAGGATGTTAATTTATTGTAAGCCTTTACCTAGTTTGTTTGTTTCACCTAGTAGTATTAAACTATTTTAATAGCTGATGGAATCTGAATTTAATTTAAAACTATAGATCTTACTACTGTAATATCAAACAAAAACTGGTGATACCAACATACAACTTCAGTGGGAAAAAGTACTTAGCAATATACTTCGCAGGCTGGGAAAGATATTTCATGATAGAAGAGTAGGAGAGCAGCAACAACAACCAAGAGAGATTTCTGGCAGTGGCAACCCACATGTCTTTTTGTTTTCAGATAATAGGACAGCTGTAGAAGCCAAAGAACGAAGACACAAGCCCCCCCCCACACACACACACACCAGAGTGCCAATATCCCAGGACAAATTTATATAGATAAAATGATGTGTTTGTATGCTTATCAGTCAAGGCTGGTTAATTTGATCCTAACCTGTCAGGTTATATTCACCTTACACCAAGGCAGGTTTCTTTCTAAAACTTCGGGGGGGG